TTCCCAGGCACCTCTGGGTGGGTTCAAACCACCAGCCTTTTGGCTAGTGGTTGAATGCTTAATAATTTGTGCCACTGAAGTTGGACATCTTATCTGCAGAGGAGTTTCTCTTTTCTCTCTCATATGCAGTGTTATGGATTGACTGTGTCCCTCAAACATATGTAATGTAAATCCTGACCTCTTTGCCTGTTGCTATAACCCCATTTGGGAATGGGTTTTCTTTGTTAGATAATGAGACAGGATTAGTATAGGGTGTATCTTGAGTCAATTTCTTTTGAAATATAAAAGAGATTAAGTGCAAGCTAACAAGCAGAGATGGGGGAAAAGAGATGCCAAGCCACATGAAGATTGCCCCGGAGCAGAAGTTCAAAGAGACAAGGACCTTCCTCTAGAGCTGACAGAAAGAGAAAGCCTTCCCCTACAGCCAGCACCCTGAGTTCAGACTTCTAGCCTCCTAAACTGTGAGAAAACGAATTTCTGTTTGTTAAAGCCAACATTTATGGTATTTCTGTTACAGCATCACTAGGTAACTAAGACAGAATTTGGTACTGGAAGAGTAGGGTGCTGCTTTAACAGGTAACTAAAATGTGGAAGCAGTTTTGGAATTGGGTAATCGGTAGAGGCTTAAAGAGTTTTAAGGTGCCTCATAGTAAAAGCCTAGATTGCCTTGAAGAGATTGTTGGAAGAATTATGGACGTCTAAGGCAATTCTGCGGAGGGCTTAGGAGGAAGTGAGGAAAGTATAAAGAAAGTCACTGTCATCTTAGAGAATACATATGGTGCCAGCAACAGAATATTGCCAGTCATGTGGACATTAAATGTGCTTCTGGTGAGGCTTTAAAAGAAAGTAATGAACATGTGATTGGACAATGAAGGAGGAGTGATGCTTCTTATGCAGTGGCAAAAAACTTGTCTGATGTATGTTCAAATGTTTGGTGGAAGGTAGAACTTGTAAATGATGAACTTGGATATCTGGCTGAGGAGATTTCTAAGCAAGATCTTAAAGGGGTCATGTGGTTTCTCCTTGCCACTTATAGTAAAATGCAAGAGGAAAGAGATGGACTTAAAAATAAACTGTGATAATAAAGGAGGGAGCAGAAAAGTTATTAAAGGCAAGGCCAGGGACTTAAACACCCATTTGGCACATTTTGAGAAGCCAAGTGCACTTCGGAGACATCCTTCCAATAACTGAGCAGCATAGCTCAATAATTGATGTCCAACAATGATGACCACATCTGCAAAAATCACTCGTTCTTGTTCAGCTGCCTCTGATTTGCACTATGTTTAAGATGACAAAAGTATGAACTCTATTTTAGAAATGTTTCCATCTAAAATGCTAATAGTTTTCTAAAGCCAATAAAGTTACTTATAAAATTTTGGCTGTGCACACTTGTATGCTACCAGGCAGTTCTGAGTAGTCAAGCAGTGTGTGTGTGTGTGAGAAAGAGAGAGAGTGTGTGTGTGTTTACAGTTTAATACAGTTTACTTTACATCTTAACATTTGCCTATTTTAATAGAAGCACATCCTTTAATTCTGTATAAGGATATGAATAAACTATTTTATATGATATGAAAACCACTGGTGACGTAAGGCAGGGCTGTAGTTAAAATGATTGCTTGCTACCATGTAGACAAGATGGCTTTGCACTCAGTTTCCCCCTGAGAATTCCATGCACCTCTGGAGCTGAGACTGTGCCCAGATACCCTGGGCTCTCTGGCCTTCTCCTAATTGAACGTGTCTACTCTTCCCCTGTCTTTACTTTATATTTTAAATGTTGATCAATTTTGAGGTGGGTTCCAATGAGAATTGGAGTCCCTGGGTAGTACAAATGGTTAACATGCTTGATTGATAACTGAAAGGTTGACAGTTCAAGTCCACCCAGAGGTATCTGGGAAGAAGGGCCGGAGGATATAGTTCCAAAAGATCAGCCACTGAAAATCCTGTGGAGTAATGTTCTATTCTGACACACATGGGGTTGCCGTGAGTCGGAGTGGACTCAACAGCAACTGGTTTCAGTGAGAAAGGAGGGGTTAGACAGATAGCTCAAATTAAGTTGAGTAACTTTGTCAACTCCTTCCCCATTCTTTAAAATGAACATCTCAGAACATCGCAGAAAATGTTTGCAAGAGGACACAAAAGGTCCAGGTTCTTCTGAAACAATATGTCTTAAAAGAGTCTGATTCAGGACTACCCTAAGTAAAGGGCAAAGTGGGCAAATTCCATCATCATTGCCTGGTAAGGATCAAGGTAAGGATCAGCATGAATCCAGTCCCCCAAATGTGGACCTTGATCCAGTTCTTAGCTTCCTACTTCTCCATCCTCTTTGTCAACTGCCCAAGTGGCACTCTCTCTAACCCTAGCTACCCCAAGCTGGGTTAGAACTCACAAGTTAAAAGGCTCTCACTGCCCCTGTGGGTTTGATAATTTGCTGGAACTACTCACAGAATTCTCATGGAGAACATACCATACCTACAACTACAGATTTCTTATGACCAAAAAGGATACAAATGAAGAGATGCATGGGGTGAGGTCTGGGAGGGGTCCCAGCAAAGAGCCTTCATGTCCCGAAGGACGCACTACCCTATCCCATACGTGATCCCCAACCAGGAAGCTCATCTGAGCCTTAAGGCTCCAGGCTTTTATTGACCTCCCCACATGGCCATAATAGAGTACATTATACCTCCTGAGGCTTAGGCAACATCTCACCCCCAGGTGGTACCACTTGGTCTGGTCAGCCCCTACTCATTAGCCTCAGGTGTGGCCCTGCTCAAACGAACTGAAAACAAAGGCCAAATTGCTTTTTGAACCTCATAAGCACGTTACGTAGGTGAATTAAAAAAAAAAAAAAAAAAAAAGTTACAGCAGCAAAGTGAATGATTAGATTAAATGTGCCTGGAGAATAGGACTCAGCTGGGTAATAAATGCACACTCTTCCCTACCATGTGCCTTTCCAGCACTTCTGCAGAACGGTGCACAGAATGCTTTCTACTTCCATTTTGTCACTGCTGATGGCCTGTCAGTCCCAGTGCCAACACTCCCCATTAGAAAGGTGACAGGAAATACATTATCTTTTTTTATCACTGCCTTCTGTCTGTCACTCTGTGCTTTAGAGGAACTGGTTATTAAAGCATTATTATATAAGTATGCAAAATATATTGAAATAAAATTGTTTATGTTTCAACTACATACAATATACACTGGCAAGAAATGCTCAGAGCATGATGACATGTGACATGTGGCAAAAGGTATTTTTAGTTGCTTTTTTTTTGGGGGGGTGGATGAAGCGAAAAGTATCTAGAGTATACAGCATTAGGAGATTTTTTAGCAATTCTAATATTTAACATATTTATAGTAGATTTTAAAATAAGCAACTAAGTGGAATTCTTTAAAACTTAGTTCAAAATACTGCTTAAAGATATTTTGTGCTATTTTTCACAATTAATCTATGTTCCATTGAGGAGCTTACATTGGGCCAGTATTTCTTTTGTGTTCTTTAATGGATTTTTTTTTTCACATTGCATCCTTTCAAATTGCTCTTATATTACATAAGGAATAATAGGCTGTTTTTATGTTATGTGAGCAACTGACCTGTGAAGAAAATATAGTTCTCACAATTTATGGATTGCCAAGCGATGACTAAGGACTGTAGGAATTGTGTTTACAGTGTAAGTATTTGAAACCTCAGAACAACAAAGTCAAGACTCCTGGTGGTTCTGATTAAAATTAAAATTCTGATTAACGTAAACCTAAGGAAGTTCAAATGAACTTGAGGAAAACAAACAATAGAAGTTTTTGTTTTGTTTTTTTTTTTTTTGCAATTTAGTCTTTTCCTGAACAGACAAAATGGCATCATCTTTCAAATGGAATCATGTGTAGAACTATTCCATAGAAAGAGTCCCCCAGCAGCAGGGCATGGACTGAGTCATCCACTGTAAAGATGCAATAACTACCTTTGAGTAGCTTTGCCTTTATTTGGTTTATCACCAAACTATAATTGAACAGTGAAATTGTCTTTAGACATTTTTCTTTTCAGAGGAAAAACCGTTCACATCCTTCTTAAACCAACAGTGATATTTGATCTGTTAATGTTGACCATTTCTATAAAACTGGAGTTACCCAGGCAAAAATCACAAATCACAAAGAATGCACCAAAAAAACCAAACTAACCCCATTGCCATCGAGTCCATTCTGACTCATAGCGACCCCATCGGACAGAGTAGATCTGCCCCACAGAGTTTCCAAGGAGTGCCTGGAGGATTTGAACGGCCGATCTTTTGGTTAGCAGCTGTAGCTATTAACCACTATGCCACCAGGTTTTCTAAGATGCTGATATGAAGAAGAAATGACTGAGCTCAACTTTTTTCTCCCTAAGGTGAAAATAGTGATTATCTATTATTTGAATCGATTTAAAATGAATGATTAAGATATAGCAGAGTACTCTAAAACACCAAATGCAGGAAGAATTGGTCTTTGTCTTAGCAATAGCAGTAAATGTTGGTTATTATTATTAGACAGTAAAGCAGTCTTTCTTGAGAAGTTTGTGGATATCTTATTCCTTTATAGTCTAACATTTTTGTGCTTTTATTGAAATACTTCAAAATGAGGACAATTTACACCTTCATGAGGTAGAAATTTGCAAAAGAAGGTTAATACTTGCTTAACTTACGAATTTCAAAGAGAAAGATGATGTTCAAAGACAATCTGCTGATTAGCTACATAGCAATTATATACTATTTCTGTAGATACATTACCTAAAAAATCAATTTATGAGATTAGATTTGTAAAGTATATATTTATTGTATAACATACTTACCAAAAGCTTCTAATTTCAGCTCATTAAACAATTAAAATAGATTGGACACTTAAAATAACACACAGTCCTGTTTGTAGCCTTTGCATGAATTAATTCAGGTAAAAAATAACAGCTATTCAATGATTTGTCTATGTAGTGGCATTGCTTTCATTGCTTTTAATCAGATGATCATCTTTCTGTATTCCAGGATCTAGATTTCTCATCACATCCACGGGAGCCTTGTATATTAAAGATGTACAGAATGAAGACGGATTGTATAACTACCGCTGTATCACGCGGCATAGATACACTGGGGAGACAAGACAGAGTAACAGCGCTAGACTTTTTGTATCAGGTAAAAACTCATCAAGACCATGTTTGCTGTTTCTGATATGTCTTCATTAGTGTCCCAAGATGACAACAAAATCGTGAAATTTGTGATGAAAATGAAGCCTTTATTTTTTTTTCCCGAAATAATTTAGCAAATTTGTTTTTTATTGTTAGTTGTCATTGATTAGACTCCGACTCATGACAAACTTACGTACAACAGAATGAAACGTTGGCCAGTCCTGGGCCATCTTCATGATCATTGGTATATTGAGCCCATTATTGAGGCCATGGCGTCAGTCTATCTCTTTGAGGGTTTTCCTCCCTTTCGACGACCCTCCACTTCACCAAACATAATGTCCTTTTCTAACAGTTGGTCTTTCCTGATAATATGTCCAAAGTAAAAAAGACAAAGTCTCGCCATCCTTACTTCTAGCAAATTGTAGAATCTTTTAAACCATTGCTAATATAATGCAATACAAATATAAATATTCCAAGTCATTTCACATTTTGTAAAATCCAAATTGCTTTGATCTAATGTTTTCCATTTTGAAAACACCTCTTTGCCCTAGATTTTTATATGTTCTGTTATTGACGGTATAAACCAGCACCATCATAGTTACCTTCATTCATAGCTCAGAGGGAGAAAAACAAGGTCATATGGACCATACCTTTTGTTCCCCAATATTAGCCCTAACAATGTTGGGGAAATAATCTATACCTAAAGTTAAAATGATATTCATGCCATCCCACCCCCTTCCAGGATTTTTCTCAGGTAAAGGAAATCTGGAGCAGTTGATTCCATTCTGGTTTTTACATCAGATTTTTTTTTTTTCTTTATGGGGTTTATACTTGGAGAAAATATCAACCCTTCGAGTAGTCTCCACAATGGCTTGCTATGGACCCATCTACCAAACAAACAAGCTATCCATTCGCACAATAATACGTTAGCACTTCATGGAGTAGCTTAGAAGGATGAAATGTCCATCTTACTATTAGACAATCAAATGCAAAATATGTGATCTTTGCCTTTGTAGCTTTAGAATGTAAAATTGCTCTATGTTGTTACTATCCTACAAGGTTCTAACAGTGGGATGAGATTAACCAATGGTTATTTGCTATAGATACTTGAAGGGTACCCTATTTTATTTGTAATGATGCTGTGTAGGGGAGGAGTGAGGGAAAGTTGTTTAATGGGGAGGGAGTAATTAAAAACATGGTTCCCTTAACACGTGCTTATTATCCTTGATAACGTTTTATCTGAATTTCTCTTCCCTCTTCACATTTTCAGAATAACCAAAACATACCTGTCCTTCATGGTCCAGAAAAAATGCAAGTTAGAATTAAATAAAATTTGAGTTTTTAATTCTTTAACTTTAATTCTTTTAACATTAATTCTCCACTGAACTTGCAAATATTTCTTTTCTTTACCTATTCTTTTTTAGATGAGTTATTTCTTTCTCCCTTGTATTATACTTATTATGTCTTGATGCCTTTGTCAAGGGTAAGACTAATCAGTACAATAAAAATAAACTGTATTGAAAAATCTGTAAGGAAAAATGAATTAGAAAATGAATGGTGTCTGTCATTCTAGTCCGTAGTAGCTTTAATGACAATATGATGTTACAGATGTTCAGAATATCCAAGGAAAGTTCTTGTTTGCCTTAAAGAGGAATGTCATAATGACACTGTTAAGAAGGGAGAAGGATCTTTGGGGGATTGTCTTAGTCAGCATTCTGTAGGGAAACAGGACCAGTGAGATATATATGTATATATACACCTACATATAAACACACACACATACACACATAATATACACACACACATATATATACATATATATATAGAGAGAGAAAGAACAATTGATTAATTTACTTCAAGAAATTGGCTCACACGACTGTGGAGATGACAAGTCCAAAATCCATAAGTCAGGCAGCAGGCTGGAGACTTCTACAGGCTTTTGTCCCAAGAACCATAGGTCAGGCAACGGAAAGAGTGCAGAGTGGAGAGAGAGAGCGTTCATTCTGCCAAAATATCTATTTATAGTCTGGAAGCAGGATACACCCTAAGGAAGCTCCCTTTTCAACTAATTGATTAGGTTACATTATGGAAGTTAGTTACATTACATTGTGAAACAGCAACTACTCTAGTGTTTGACCAAACCACTGGGAACCATGGCCTAGCCAGATTGACATGTAAAATTAACCATCACAGGGGTCTTGCTGTAAGATTAATTTGGTATTATCAAAGCAAGTAAAATAAGCATTTTTCCATCCAAAAGATGAATGAACTGCTAATGATCTGAAAGCCCGCCGTCTTTCTTTTTCGGATAACCTGGTTTATCTCCACTCTGACTCATTAAATATTAACTTTCAAATTTAACTCTCTGGGTTGGGAAGGCAAATTTACTTTTCTTAATCCCAAGTTTTTTTATGAGTGCTTTATTTCAAAAATTGATAGAAGGAAAAAGACCAGACTTAATGGTCTGAGACTAGAGAAACCCCAGAAAGCATGGCCCCTGGACTCTCTATCAACCCAGAACAAAACGATTCCTGAGACCAACTCTTCAGACAAATATTCGACTGGACTGTGGGACATACAATGATACTCGTGACGAGCGTGCTTCTTAGCTCAAGTAAATGCATGAGACTAAATGGGCAGCTTCTGTCCGGAGGTGAGATGAGACGGCAGAGAGGGTTAGGAGCTGTATGAATGGACACGGAAAATCAGGGGTGGAAAGGAGGAGTGTGCTGTCACAGTATAGGGACAGAAACTAGGGTCATGTAACAATGTGTGTATAAATTTTTGTATGAGAGACTAACTTGAATTGTAAACTTTCACTTAAACTACAACAATAAAAAAAAAATCGATAGAAGGAACCATGAGTCTTCAGCCATGCAAACCCAGTGAGATCACCTAGGGAGCACTTGTGAAAGAGAATTGAGGGACATCTGAGCATAATCCACTGATACACCAGCAGAAGAGTAGCCAGGGAATAAGACTGAATATTTGGGATTAAAATGGAGGTGAAGACAAGAAAGGTGATGGTTACAAGAAAGAAAGGGTCAAAAGAGTCACATGTCATTGAAGGGTTCATATGAGAATCTGTGTCTGGTAAATTATGCTTAGGACTTTTTGTCACGGAAATTTTTTTTTATTTTTTTTATTTTATTGTACTTCAGGTGAAGGCTTACAGAACAAATAGTTTCTCATGAAACAGTAGTAC